TGTCTCACCCCCCCCATGTCGGAGCCCCCCGAAGGTGAGTGTGTGTGTCCCCCCCATCCTCCCTTTCCCCTTCACAAATGACCCAAAACAAGCAGAATTCAACCCAGAATATTCCTCAGCCTTTGGGAACCACTCCCGTGAACGGTTTTGGGGGGAAATCATGGATCTTTTGGGCCACCATCAAAAACGAGGGGTCCATCCTTCTGCTCGTCCCCAATTATTCCTCCTCTGCTCTGCTGGAGACTCAGAAAAGCCTTTTACAGCCCCAAACTCCATAATTTTCACCCCAAAATGTCGCTGTATCAATACATAAATCCGAGAGGAATCGCTTTTCTTCCTCCTCCTCCTCCTCCTCTTCCTCCCACTTCAGCTTGTGCTGACTCAGCAGCGAAGCAAAAATCCGAATCTCAATGACACCTCACACCTGGTTAATTAATTATCCTGGTGGCTAATTATCCCGGGTAAATGGGCCAAAAGAAGCAGAATTCAGCCCAGAATATTTCTCAGCCTTTGGGAACCACTCCCGTGAACGGTTTTGGGGGGAAATCATGGATCTTTTGGGCCACCATCAAAAACGAGGGGTCCATCCTTCTGCTTGTCCCCAATTATTCCTCCTCTGCTCCGCTGGAGACTCAGAAAAGCCTTTTACAGCCCCAAAAATCCATCGTTTTCACCCCAAAACGTCGCTGTATCGGTGCATAAAGCCGAGAGGAATCACTCTTCTTCCTCCTCCTCCTCCTCTTCCTCCCACTTCGGCTTGTGCTGACTCATGGCAGCGAAGCAAAAAAGACCTCCAAACCTCAATGACACCTCACACCTGGTTAATTAATTATCCCGGCAGTTAATTATCCCGGGTGAATGGGCCAAAAGAAGCAGAATTCAGCCCAGAATATTTCTCAGCTTTGGGAACCACTCCCATGAACGGTTTTGGGGGAAATCATGAATCTTTTGGGCCACCATCAAAAACGAGGGGTCCATCCTTCTGCTCATCCCCAATTATTCCTCCTCTGCTCCGCTGGAGACTCAGAAAAGCCTTTTACAGCCCCAAAATCCATCGTTTTCACCCCAAAACGTCGCTGTATCGGTACATAAAGCCGAGAGGAATCGCTTTTCTTCCTCCTCCTCTTCCTCCTCTTCCTCCCACCTTGGCTTGTGCTGACTCATGGCAGCGAAGCAAAAATCCAGATCTCAATGACACCTCACACCTGGTTAATTAATTATCCCGGCGGTTAATTATCCCAGCAGTTAATTAACAACCCTTTTTCCTGGCTGCCTGGGTTTGCAGGTTAAGGGGGATTGGCGGGGAGGGGGGGCTTCTCTACCTGGTTTTATTGCAGAAGGGAACCGAGGGGCTGATTTGCTGACGTTACCAGCCCAAGTGTTGCCGGATGGTATAGCACAGGCTAAACTCGGCCATTCTTTCTTTCCCCAGAAGGCTGGAGGTCTCCAAGGGCAGTTTGGGCTTCCCTCCCGACAAGCGTCTCCTCTTGTTGCCGTATGCCCTG